GATCTGGGTTTCCTAGGTTTTCATCGGTACGTTTGAAAGATTCCATTTTTGTCTTTAATGCTCGCAGTTTCTCAATCTCGAATTCTGGGTTTCTTTTTGGAACTACCAGGTGTTTTAGCTCCAGATCTGCTTCTTTGCACTCTGTTTAGTTTGTCTCGGTGGTCTGCTTCTAGATCTCCTTACTTTGTTAATGTTAGGGTCTTTTGAAATTGCAATTTTTGTTTAACTTGCATTAATTTACTTTCCTATTTGGGTTCTCTTAATTGTTGTTCTCTCCTGCGTTTTCTTTGCTTGTTGTTTTCTTCCTTTGCTTATTCCAAGTTATTTCCAATTTTGGATATGTGATCATTATTGAGTATCTTTGTGTATGCTCGTTAAGCTTGAAAATTGAGTATGTTAAAAAAGTTGAATATCGTCGTATTAGGGTTTTATTAAACGAGTGAGTTCTTCATCAGAACTAATTAGTAACCAACACAATTTTACACATTGGAATCATCACCATTTTTGTTGATGAACTAATAACCAAATTGTTTCTCTGTGGTTATTTTTGCAGGCTGAGTTTTTTTTTGTTTTAATTCAATCTCGAGAGCTTGGAAGAGTGAGGTAGAGAAGGAAACTATTTTGTTGCCTGAAAATGGCATCTGTGGGCATAGCTCCTATTCCCGGGGCAAGAGACTCGACTTCACACGCTACTGGTGTTGATAAATTGCCTGAAGAATTGAATGACATGAAGATTCGCGACGATAAAGTAGGTTTTGAATGCATTTTATTATACTATAGTTTCTGCTCATTGTTGTGTATGTTTGTAAGAAAACTAAATTGGTTTTGATTGCTAGGAAATGGAAGCAACTGTGGTAGATGGGAATGAGACAGAGACTGGCCACATAATAGTGACCACTATCGGTGGAAGAAACGGTCAACCAAAACAGGTTTTTACTTCTTTGTTTTGACATATTGCAAATACAAAACTGCTCTTCAGGATCTCTTAAAGTTAATTGATTCGTTAGATTTTTCTCTTGATTTTAAATATCTTCGAATATGATTGCAGACGATCAGCTACATGGCCGAACGAGTTGTTGGACACGGATCTTTCGGTGTTGTGTTCCAAGTGAGTTTTCTTCTTTTATCCCTCTCACTCCATTATGTAATATTTGATTATTTATCTATTAGTCGACTGAGCTGGATTCCTTTTTTTTCTTCTGTGATTCAGGCGAAATGCCTTGAGACAGGAGAAACTGTTGCCATAAAGAAAGTTCTACAAGATAGGAGGTACAAGAACCGTGAGCTTCAAACCATGAGGCTACTTGACCATCCAAATGTTGTGTCTCTAAAACACTGTTTCTTCTCAACCACCGAAAAAGACGAGCTTTACCTCAACCTTGTTCTTGAATACGTCCCAGAGACTGTTCATCGTGTTATCAAGCACTACAACAAACTCAACCAGCGGATGCCTCTCATATACGTCAAACTTTACACGTATCAGGTATTAATTATCGCATTTGTATCAGATTTTAGATTTTCTTTTAATTGTCACTTATCGGCTTCTTCTATATTTGGCAGATTTTTAGGGCCTTATCTTACATTCACCGTTGTATTGGTGTGTGTCATCGCGACATAAAACCTCAAAACTTGTTGGTATGAAAAAGCATCATAAACATACTCAGTACACCTAGTGTCCCCGTTATTTACTTGTCCTATGTTTAATGCTACTTTTTTTTTTTTGGTGATGAAACAGGTAAATCCACACACTCATCAAGTAAAACTATGTGATTTTGGAAGTGCAAAAGTATTGGTGCGTTCTTTAAATCTCTCTGGGTACATTTGTCTCTTGGGAAACGTAAGATTCAATGTTGTTGATCATTGTAACAACTGAAAACAGGTAAAAGGAGAACCAAACATCTCCTACATTTGCTCGAGGTATTACAGAGCACCTGAACTTATTTTTGGAGCAACCGAGTATACGACAGCCATTGATGTCTGGTCTGCAGGATGTGTTCTTGCTGAACTCTTGCTTGGACTGGTAATGCAATAATAATACCTCATTCAAACATTTATGTTATACTCAAACTGGGGAAATTTGTGATTGACAAAATCTATGCTCTGCTCATGTCAGCCCTTGTTCCCTGGTGAGAGTGGTGTTGATCAACTTGTGGAGATTATCAAGGTATATAAGCTTTGCACTTGTTCATTTTAATTTATTTTCTGCAATAATTCTGATATTGATTTAATGTTTTCGTTTTTCATCGGTTAGGTTTTGGGAACACCTACTAGGGAAGAAATCAAGTGCATGAACCCTAATTACACGGAATTCAAATTCCCTCAGATTAAAGCTCATCCATGGCACAAGGTATAGCACTTAATTATACATCAGGTCAACATGTTCAGTGTCTTCAATTTAATGTGACATATCTTCAATTTGGTCATATATATTTTCACAGATTTTCCACAAACGCATGCCTCCGGAAGCTGTTGATTTGGTTTCAAGGCTTCTTCAATACTCTCCAAATCTACGAAGCGCTGCTGTGAGTGTTTTACAAGTCAAACATTCTTGGATGAATCTTTTTGATGATTTCCTCAGTTTTTTAGTTTGTCTGACATGCATTTTTGGTTGAATTGTAAATGTGGTCACAGCTGGACACATTGGTCCACCCATTCTTTGATGAGCTAAGAGATCCGAACGCACGTCTGCCTAATGGACGTTTCCTTCCACCCCTTTTCAACTTCAAGCCTCACGGTAACGACACACGACATCTTGCAAGATATAGCAAATCTATACAAGCATTACGTTTCTAGTTTTTGAGCACTCAATGTGTTGACTAAAGTCTGTCTTGTGATTGTTGTGAAACAGAGCTGAAAGGTGTGGCTGTGGAGATGGTAGCTAAGTTAGTACCTGAGCATGCAAGGAAGCAGTGTCCTTGGCTCGGTTTGTGAAAAAAAAAACCCTAAATGTAGCCATAAACACAAAACACTTCTATAATTTGC